GATGACAAAAATTCAAACCTGTTCGGTCTGACTAAAACCGACTTCTACTACTGATTTTAAAAATTACAAGAATTAAAAACAATTCTGTCTGACTAAAACCAATTTTCACTACTTGTCGTAAAAATTATACGAACTTAATCCAGTCTGATTAAAACTTTCTTTTACTACTGATTGTAAAAATTACAGGAATCTAAACCCGTTTGGTCTGACTAAATCCAATTTTTACCACTGATTTAAAAATTTAAATAATTATATCCCTTTCTGTCTGACTAAAATATATTTTTACTACTGGTCATAAAAAACTACAAAAATTGAAACCTTTTTAGTCTGACTTAAACTTACTTTTATTACTGAGAGTACAAATTACTAGGATTTAAATCTCTTCTGTCTGCCTAAAACCTATTTTTACTACTTGTCGTAAAAATTACAAGAATTTAATCCCGTTCTGTCTGACTAAAATCGATTTTTACTACTGGCCATAAAAAATCACAAAAAATAAAACTAGTTCGGTCTGATTAAAACTAACTTTTACTACTGACAGTAAAAATTACTGGAATTTCATCAATCTGTTTGACTAAAATTGTTTTTATTTCCATCAATAATAATATCTTATTTAATGAGACAAATTTCCGTTATTTTCAGTCCAGTAGTAAAAATCAAGTTTAGTCAGACATAAATGAAATTTAAAAAAAATGATATTACCATTAATAATATATACTATTCTTGCAAAAAAAAACGAAATTAAAATCAAGAAATTTTTTTTTCAACCTACATGAGAAAATAAAACTGAATTATCATTTAATTGCAGGCAATTTATCACTATTATATATAAAAAGAAATTCCACGGCAATTTAAAACAAAAAATTATAATTATTTTTTTTGCAAACACGCTTTTATGCCGCGAGATGTTGGTGAATATATTTTCCTGGCATTATACTAATATTGTTAACATGGGAATAAAATATTTAAACATAAATCATTTGTATTAATATTCGCGCAAAAAAAGTAAAAGTTGAAAGATAGTCGTGCTTCAATCTTGTCTTTAAGAAATAAGGGCAGTGATATAATTATCACGAAATGAATAATTCAAAGGAAGAACAAGAATAATGTAGGCTCTAGAAAATGTTTTATGTATGTATCTCGTTATAATTTAAGTATTGCTACATGCACACTTGGTGTTGGAAATCTATATATTTTATTATACTATGTCTGACAGTTAAGAAAAGAAAAAATTCAATTTTTCCTTCCTTTCGCAAATATAATTTATTTTCTTCTAAAAAAAAAAATTATTAAAAATTTGTATAATTTCATTTTTATATTATAAATAATACACAATGAAAATTCAATTGATTTTAAGTCAACTAAATTCTCCTTAAAAACACAGCAAAAATATATGAAATTTGAAAAATAATCAGCGAGAAGCTTTCCAAATATATATTAGATTTATGACTGCATAAAAATTCAACGAGAATAAAGGTCACATTCTGAATTTGAAAGAGAAACTTTATTCGAATTCAAAATATATTCCCAGAATTTCAAAAGAAAATTGTAGTAGGGGTTCAATCGATTTTTAAGTTTTATTCTCTCGACAATAAAAAATAGGGGAAGAAGAAGAAGAAGAATGTGTAAAACGCTACTTAAACCGATCTTTAACGATATTATTCATTTTTTTTGGAAATTTTTTCAAAAATACGAAATTTATTTCAGTGTATCTCAAAATCCATTGGTCCAATTCATCTAAGGAAAATCGAAATTTTTTTCAAAAATCCAAATTTTGATCGTAAATCAAAGCTTGTTTTAAGATTAGTTAGTGTAAAAATAAATTTTACTCAAACAAAACAATTTGAATTACACTGAGAAAAAAATTTATTTGATTTAACTAATCGGTTACTTGAATCAAATAAATATTTACTTGAACCAAATAATTTTTATTGGAATTAAATAAATTGTATTTGGACCAATAATTTCTGTATTTGAAACAATTACTACTGAATTGGCTCAAATAGTCATTTGGTTCAAGTAAATATTTATTTGATAATAATCAAGTAATCGAATATTTAAATCAAATAAATTTTTTATAGTTATTGCAATTTTATCATAAGTAGTAGAAGCCCTTTTTAGTCAGACAATTCAGTTCCATTTTTTTCCAATTTTTATGATCAGTAGTAAAAGTCTTATTTTAGTCAGACAAGAAGATTTAAAGGCTCTCAATTTAATTATCAGTAGTAAAAGATTTATTCAAACACAGATAGTAAAACAAAGTTTTACGTACTTGTTAAAAAATTTTTACTAGTTTTATTTTATCAGTAGTAGAAGAAAATTTTAGTCAGACAGTTTTTTTTTCGTAATTTCACAGTAGTAAAAGATATATTTAGTCAGACAGCGAAACTGTAAAAGGAACTTTTGCTTAAAAATCCTACTACTTTTAGTATCAGTAGTAGAAGAAAATTTTAGTCAGACAGAGAAACTGTAAATGGAACTTTTGCTTCAAAATCCTACTACTTTTAGTATCAGTAGTAGAAGAAAATTTTAGTCAGACAGGTTGTAATTCTTTTTGTAATTTTAATATCAACTCAAAGTTAGAATTACTTCAAATTTAAAGAATTACAGAATTGTTAAAATTAGTCTAATATTTAGCAAAAAAATTAATTGTCAGTAGTAAAAGTCGTTTATAGTCAGACATGAAAAATTTGAAATTCTAATTTGTAATAATATAAAAAATTGAAAAAATAGATCCAATTCTCAAAGAATGTGGATTAAAAAAAAAGACAAGAAAAGAAAAGAGGCTCGTGGAAGAACTCAGGTCGACTCAACTCTAAACTCAACTCAACTCTCTGCTGAGCTCGCTGACTCCAGCTATTGATCGGAGGCCGACCGGGGTCAGAGTGTAGCAGTGGACTACATCGGTACACGTTTTCTCTCTCTCTCTCTCTCTCTCTCTCTTTCTCTCTCACACATACAGTATGTATATATATGTGTTATGTGTGCAGAATCTACACGTACACATAAGGTAGAGGTAACAACATACACATACAGTCATGAAAATGTTTCTGGCTCGAAAACCACCACACGAAGAACGGCCCAGACCACGGAACCACACGATACTATCTGCCTACTGTACCCACCGAAACACTCCGTAAATATATTCAGAGACCGTATCGTTCAACGAAAGCTGAGCGCCAGTTTAAAGAGCAGACGATGAGGGGGCAAAAAAAAAAAAAAAAAAAAAAGAAACACGAAATTGCAACCACCACAGCAAATTTCGATAATTCCTTCCGCTCTTTTATAACTGAAAAAAACCTCGAGATGAAAACTACGCGCTGACCATATATATATATATATATATAGTAGACAAAAAGAATAAATAAAAAAAAAAAAACCGTTGAAGCCACGTGGACGATAGCACATCTCTCGATTTTGCGAGTTTTGAAGCTGAAGGGAAAAATGTGAAAGATAGGAAAAGCTTTAGAGGCTTAGAGTGCTTCGAGATAAGTAGCTCTCGAGTCTGAGCAAGATGGCTTTAATGTTGCAGATTCACTTCTTTAGATTGTCTTTAAATATATATATATATATATATTTAGTTTTTTTCCTCGAGGAGAAAAATTTATTCCTTCCGATAACGAGGATCCGAATTGTCAGATATATTTATTATTATCATTATCATGCAATCGATATATTGTCAAATGATTTTCTTCCTGATATAGAATTATAAAAATTGTGATTCAATTTTTTACATTTTTCACATGGAAAGTAAAGTCACGTTATATGACGATTTTAAAGCCCAAAAAATCTATTTTTTTTAATTCTAAACAATTTATTCAATTATTAAATATTTTATTATTTTTAAAATATTTATTTTAAATGCTAGTATTAATATTAATAATAATAAAAATAATAATAATAATAATTATAATAATAATAATAATAATAATAATAATAATAATAATAGTAATAATAATAGTAATAATAATAGTAATAATAATAGTAATAATAATAGTAATAATAATAGTAACAATAATAATAATAATAATAAATAATAAATATTTTTTATTAAATGGACAATATATTATTAATTAGATTTCAATATTAGTTATCTAATTTATAAATGCACCAATTTCTTAAAAACTCAAATTTTTTTTTAAAGGAATTTTGTTTATGAATGTTGTGCATTTTGTTTATTTATCCCAAAAGAAAAAATAATTGAAAATAATAAAAAGAAAAAAATAATAATTAAAATAAAATGATTTCCCTCTATTCTGCATTCTGTATATAGAATAAAGCTAATAAATTATAATGTAATTAAAAGTATAATAAACAAATGACTTTAATTTGTATTGTGTAATAAAATTTAAATCCATATTCAATTACTAATTTAAATTGACTTAATTCTCTTTGATTTTTACTGTTTTCTTTTTATAACATTCTAAAATTTATTGATTGTACTGAGAATCTATAGTGATAAAATTATTTACTCGCTTACTTAATATATTTAAAATTTATTTACTTAATAAAATTTAGTGCACGATAAAAAATTCTACAAAAAAAGTTTTTTTTGTAATTTCAATATTTAAGTTATTAAAGAAAAATTAATTATACTAAGGAAACGAACAAGACAATAGGAATTGTGAATTACGAAAAAAAAATTAAAATTTTAAAAATAATAAAAAATTAAAAGTTAAATATTAAATAGAAAAATTGGTAGGTAATTTTAATTATTTTTATTTTTATTATTATTCAATTATTTTTAATATTATTATTATTTTAATATATTTATGTTCCTATTTGGACTGCGGGCTTAGTTCGTAAATAAATAAATAAATATTTCAGTAGTATAAAACTGATTCAGTCAGACAAAAACGTTTCATAATTAAAGTAACCTTTTTTTATTAAAAGTATTTCACTTTTTTTTTCTCTTTTTTCTTAAATTTCAATGTTAATATTATTTTCAAACTAAAAGAAATAATAAAAAATTATAAATATAAATGGTTTTAAAAACTCACCTCATTGGTGTTCCATCGATGCCTTTGGGTTGGGAAATGCTCAGCTCGAGGTAAAGTCTCCAAATTTTCTGGAAGTTTGATTGGATCTCCATCTAAAACCAAAAAAAAAAAAAAAAATTGAAGAAAATCAGTATAAGTAAATATCAATAGAATTTTATTTATACACTTAAAAAATTAACAAAAATTTATAAATATTTCTTAATAAGTTCTATTACGATAAGTTATTAATTAATTAATTGAGATAATTAAAATTCCAATTCATCGTAAACAATTTTTTTTTTTATATTCAAAAAAGTATTTCCATTTCTATTAATTTCTTTTTCCATTACATTTTCTTCCTCTATTTTCTATATATTTTCTGATTAAATTTTTCTAAATTAAATAAAAAAATGATTAAATTAATTAAAACAAATTTGCAAAAATAAAAAATAAAATAAAATTTTCTCACGTTTCTTTAAAAAGAATATATTAAAGGGCAACTTTGGTGACTTATATACAACTTTCGCGCTTATGTGACACTAAATTTGACTTTTTGAATTGTAAAATTTCTTTAACGGTGGACAAATTAGACAAGTTTCGTTAATGACTTTGCGGCATGATTTTATATATATATATATATATATATTATATATAAAAAGCAAGAGGTGATTTATAAGATTAATAAGAGCCACGTGAGCGTGGAATGATGAATAGCAATATAAAACGGAACGTAGAGTTTCAAATACCGGCGCAGTAAACTTTAACAAACTATCGAAATGGACTGCTAAGATCGCGTTGTGTGACCCTGTTCCATACAAAGTACTTGCCTATAGCAATTGGATAAATTTTAACAATCGGTCTCCTACCAATACAAACTGGGTCAGTCTTGTTTTCACATTACGATATATATATATATATATATATACATACATGAGAACTCTAAACGGATGCAAGAAAAAGACACGAGGGAATTAAATTGCGCGCAAACAAAAATATTATTACCCCCTGATCGCGAATTGATAAGAACGGGATTATTTATGAAAATAAGATTCACCAAAAAATGTCATCCACAATTGTTTCGCAAAATACATTCCTTCCTTTTACAAAAAAAAAAAACCGTAAATTGCTTCTTCGTGCCAATCGATCGATTCTTATATATTTTTCGAGGACAATCAATTTTTTTTTCCTCCAAAAGAGAAATAATTAAAGGTAATTAACAAATGAATAAAAAAAAATTGCGAATTTCTAAAAAATTGTTTAAAAATAATTAAAAACATAATTAAATTCAAATATAACAAATTGTGAATTATTATTAATAAATCATTTTAAATTATTATAAAAAATATATATATAATTGTAAATTATTAAGAAAAATTATTTAAAAATTAATTAGAAACATAATTAAGTCGAAATAATTATAAAGGAATAAATAATTTAGAAAATTATTTTGAAAATAATTTCAATTTTTATAATAATAAAAATTGAAAAATTTTTATAAAAACTTTTTCTGATCAATATAATATTTGTAATCGTTTTTTTTTTCTTTTGTATATACAACAAGCTGACGGCAAATCTTTTCTTTTCAATCGTGTGAACTTTGAAAGTAACAATGTTCGGTCAAAGCATTGTTTCAAACTTGGTAAAATGGAAAGAGAGAACTTCTATCGAGCCGTCAGCACTTCGCTTACTTAAAACAACTTACATCTTTCTTTGAACTTAAGACAAGCTCTTAAAAATATATAGTATCACCAAAAAAAAAGAAATGTTTTCTTATATCGAAAATTTCAAAACTTGTATATAAAGCAAATTTTATTTATTATTTTATTTATAATTTATTATTTATTAATTATTTATTTAATAATTATTCAGAAATTATTTATTTATTTATTAAACTATTAAGAATAATAATAATTAAACAAACAAACAAATTTCAAATAATTTAATAAACAAATTGCAAATAAACAAATGAACAAATTTTAGAAAAATTCTTCTAAATTTTTTCGCACTGATTTTTATTTTTTTCACAATTAACTCCTTGAAAAATTAATTAAAATAAAATTGTTACTCATAAATATAAATACCTATATCGACATTTAACCATAATTACAAATATAAATATTAAATTTGCTTTTATACATTAATACACAAACGGGAAGTGTAATCAACGTAATCCATCTCAAAAACATAAAATATTAGTATAGATAATTGTTCCACGTTATTAACATTGATTATAAATTCAATTCAATATATGAAAATTTACCCGCAAGTAGATTAAAATTTCAACTACGTTTATGAAATTAAAAATTAAATTAAAAATTATAAATTTAATTAAATTAATTAGGAAAAATTTAATTTCAAAATAAAAAATATTGAAAAATGGCTGTAAATAAAAAAAAATTCTATTAAAAAAAAAAGAACAAGTAAAAAATACTTTTGGACAGCAACTTTTCTTTTTGTATATTGTGAATAAACCGAAAATACGAAAAACAGACAAAAGATAATGAGAATAACGTGATTACTGAACGGTTCATGAAACATGCAAATTAAATTAAATGAAAGTATAAGCATCAGAATCAAAATACTACTGAATTCAAAATAGAGTGCGCGAAGAAGCTTCTTCTCTTTTTAATAATTCATAAATAGAGAGCCAATTTCTTTTTTACGCCTTGCGGCAATTCTTTATAAAGTGTTTTTAAGATTTTTAAAATCTAAAAAATTTATTTTTTCGCCATTGACATGAAAAAGTGTCTTTTTTGTGCCTGTTTTGGGCAGATAAAGTAGCACTTTTTAAGGCAGTTTGGGCCAACTGCCTAAAAAAGACTTTTTTAGGCAGCAAACTGCCGTATAAAGTCTTTTTTAGGCAGTAAACTGCCCTATAAAGTCTTTTTTAGGCAGTTGTTAATTTTTGCATAATTTTTTTTTTTGCTTTTATTTTATTTATCAATTTTTATTATTTTTTTTCTTTAAAATTGTTTCACTTTTTCATAACAATGGCGAAAAAAATAGCGTATGTGGCTCGCACGTAGTAATTTTTAGGTTCGGATGATTTCAATACTCGCTGTCTGTGCGACTTCGGTTCGACTCGGCTCGCTTTCGGCTCGACTCGACTCGCCTTCGGCTCGTCTTCATCTCACCTACAGCTCGCCTTCGTCTCACCTACGTCGCACTAACGACAGCTCGTACTGAAAATTACATCCTCACCTAAAAAGTACTACTTTACGTGCTTGCCACATAATATACTATTGTTTCAATTTTTTATTTGTATACCAAAAAAAATGTTAATTTGTTTCAATTTTATTTGTATACCAAAAAATGTTAATTTGTTTCAATTTTATTTGTATACCAAAAAATGTTAATTTGTTTCAATTTTATTTGAATTAAATATAAAATTATACATACGCCAAGTAAAATTTTATTTTTACCAAACAAAATTTTTCCATGAAATAAATAAAGTTATTATTAAATAGTTTTATTAAATAAATTCTTGATAATTTTTTATTTTATTTATAGAAAAAAAGTAGAAAAAAATTATTTATTAATCAAAATATATTAAATAATTTTTTTTTAATAATTAAAACAATTATTTTTTAACTGATTTAATAATTATTTTTAAAAAAAAAGACATTTATTTGATAGTCAAATAATTTCAATCAAAACCATTATTTTTCGGTATAAAAAAAAATTGTACGAAAAACGGTTTTAAAAACAAATGTTTTTTTTAATTAAAACTATTTTTCGTACAATTTTTATTTCTTTATTTTTTTTTTTGTATTTTTTGTTTACTTGTTTGTAATTTTTTTAAAATTATAATTTAAATTTAAATGAATTCAATTAAAATTAAAGTAATTTAATTGAAATTAAAATTAAAATAATTTAATTGAAATTAAAATTAATTTAATTACTTTTTACAATTAATTTCCCCTAATTTCGCATTGTTTTAAGCTTCACTATAATCTCTCTAAATTTAAATTAGTGAAAATTTAGCTACTAATTCACATTAATAAGAATTTTTCACTAATTTTTAGTAAAATATTACTAAATTTAGTAGTTTTCAATTTTTTTACTAAAGTTTTAGTAAAAAGTAACTAAAAATAAATTAAAATTCTTCCTAATCGAAATTAGTAACTCACTTTTCATTAATTCAGATTTAGAGAGATTTTAACTATTCGTAAAGCAAAAAAAAAAAACTAAAAATTATTTTCATTTTTGCAAATCTTGCTCTAAATTCATTTCATAATAAAGCTCGTTTTTTTCTCAATATTCAAATTTTCAACTATGAAGTAATGCTGACTATCATGCAAAGCTTGTGACAGAAAAAAAAAGAAAAAAAAAAAGTCGATCGTGACCCTGCATACGTTTTTTGATTGTAAGAAAGCCTTCGACGTCATGACAAGCGACGACATATATATTTTTTTTTTGTATGTGGCGTCATGACAAAAGAAAAGTAACATCTAAAAGCGCCTATATAGATATATGACAAGAATAATAATATATATATATGTATAATATAGCGTGAGGAAGACTCACTTGGGGCAAGAGGCGTCGGGTAGGTCGCGTGGTAGACGACACGCTGGGGATTCGCGTGATTATAGCCCGCCATCCTTTTCACTTCACCAATTATTATCAACGAATAATTTGAAGAAAAAAAAAAAAAAAATTCTTTCTATTATAAAATTATATTATTCTTTAAAATAATTGTCGTTTAAAAATTACGCCCGTTTACTTGAGCGAGATTGTATTTTTTTATTACTATTATTATTATTATTATTATTATTTTTATTATTATTGTTATTATTATTGTTATTATTATATAAATTACAAACTCTAAAAGCGATAAACGAGAGAAGGTAACTCATTATCTCTCTCTCTCTATCTCTTTTTTTTATTTGCACTGACACTATATTTATATATTCGATTCCCTTTTTAACGAGGCACAAATTACTCTTATTATTTAATTTTCGATTTTATTCTTAGTTGAAATGTGTGTGTCTCTCTTTTTTTTTCTCTCGCGCGCGCAAAAAGGTACTTGAAATAGAAAACAAAAAAAAAATGATCTTGAGCGACGTTTAAATTCAAGTCCCAAGGAATTATTTTTCTCTCCTTATTTTTTCAGACCAATTAGAAGTTGAAATTCATTTTGGTCGGATTTATTTATTTTTTTTTTTGCAAACAGTGAATTCTGCAAAAATGGCAGGACAACCCCAGGACGATGTTGCACAGCCTTTTTTTTGAAATTGAAATCCTTCTTCTTTTTTTATTCCATATCAATTTTCTATAGAAAAAAATTTATAGAAAATTTTTTCAAACATTTTTTTTTTTTTTTTTTTGCACTATTTTATTTTTTGTGTGTGAAACTTTTTTTTTATTTTCGTCTTATATCCTAAGTTACAACACTGAACCTGTCCCACGCGGAGGACAAAATAATGTAAGGGTCACACGTTTAGATATAAGATTTAGTATAAGTGATGATAAAAGAGATATATATATATATTTTTTTTCAGAGATAAAATTAAAAAAGGTCGGCGTTTTTTTTTTCGAGACAAACTTTTTTTTTTGTAGCGGAATATTTAGAAGTAGAAAATAGATGACTTTTTTTTCTTTTGTTTAAAAATTCTCTTTGTTTTCTCGGACCGGTTGGATTTACGCGCGTTCTTCCTTTTTTTTCTTCTTCTTAATATAGAGAAATATTAGCGAGTAAAAGAAGTAGTAGTGTTTTTTTGAAGAGAGTGTGTTTTTTTTTTTTTTTTTGTTTTTAGTAGTGATATTTACAAATGTTTTTTTTTTTTTTTATTAAAATAGTTCAAATTAGTTATTTTTGGCCCCGCGTGTCTGCTCCCGAGCGGCGGGAGCCGCAGAGTGAGCCAACCCGCGAGTTTGAAACCCCTATTTGCCTCCTGCTTTCGACTAACCCCTCCCCCCACCTTTCGCCCCTTCTTTCATCCCTTGTTTCCCCTCTGTGCCCCACTAACAACCCCCAGCGCCAACCAATCCTGATACAGCCACAGCCCAACTTTTTCACTCTATCTCTCTCTAGGACATTTTCGTTTCCGTCTTTCTTTCCTTTTCTCATACTAGTTTGTGTTCCGGTTCTGTCTCTCTTTCCTGAAAATTCTGACTCACTTCCTTGAATTTCTGTCTCTGTTATATGGTGAATTTCAGTTTGTGTCTGTGCATTCTCTCTCTCTCTCTCTCTCTCTCTCTCTCTCTAACTTTGGTCTGGCATAGAGAAGAGCGTGGAGCAGCAATATAAGCCCTCAACCACCTCCGAACTTCACGAACCATATTCCACTTGCAGCCTATAGCCACCCCTCTTCGCACCTGAACCAACCCGTTCAAAGACTGTCTACACATGGAGCAAGCTCTTTCCTCGCCCCCTTTATATATGTATACACATATACAAATATAAAATTGATGTTGGTCCTTTTTACAGAGACGAAAGATGAACGAATGGATAAGTCAATTTATTATATCATCCAAAATGGACTTTCTACACTTTCGAGTAGGTATGTGTACCGTCAAATGGAATGAGGGGGGGTTTTCCAAAAAACGAAAAAAATCGGACAAGTGCGAGTTACACTCGCACTGAAATCGAGGGTTCCGTACTCGAAGCGAACTTATTTGGTATAAAAATAAATGTTTAAAAAATATGTGTTGTATGTTAAATAAATTATGTGATACAAAAAGGAACAATTTTATAAAAAAATTTAAGAAAATTGTTCCTCCTTTGGTATAAAAACAAAAAAAAAATTTAAATATGTGTTGTATTTCAAATAATATAAGTGATACAAAAAGGAACAATTTTGTAAAATTTAAGAAAATTGTTCCTCTTCGTATCACTTATATTATTTGAAATACAACACATATTTAAATTTTTTTTTTGTTTTTATACCAAAGGAGGAACAATTTTCTTAAATTTTTTTTATAAAATTGTTCCTTTTTGTATCACATAATTTATTTAACATACAACACATATTTTTTAAACATTTATTTTTATACCAAATAAGTTCGCTTCGAGTACGGAACCCTCGATTTCAGTGCGAGTGTAACTCGCACTTGTCCAATTTTTTTCGTTTTTTGCGGAAAAATACATTTTTTTATTAAATTTATCATTTTTCTTCAAAAATTTGATAAAAATTGATCATCAACTCCAATTGCGCTTACATTTTTTCCCTGTATTTTTCATTTTTGTCATTTTTTCTTGAAAAACTTGATAAAAAGTTAATCATCAACTCTAATCGTGATCGCTTTTTTTTCCCTGTATTTTTCCCGTAAAAATACATTTGTATACTAAATATGAACTGTCTGGGTTGGATATTGTTTGCGCTAGGGAGAAAAAATCAGTTTTTTTCGAAATTTTTTATTTTTCCTTGACAACGCTATGTAAATTGATCCGAATCAAGTTCGCTATATTTTTCCTGTAATTTTCACGTTAAAATACGTAAGTGTGCCAAATTTGAGCTCTTTATGTCAAAAGATGTGGCCGCTAGGGGGGGGGGGTACATAGTCATTTTTAGGCATTTTTCGTAAAAATTCATGGTTTTTCCTTGACAACGCTATATGATAATCAATTCCTATCAGGTTCGCTATATTTTTCCTGTAATCTACACGCGAAAATACATATGTGTACCAAATTTCAGCCCTCTAGATAAATTCGTGTGGCCGCTAAGGGGGGGGGGGGGTACACGATTTCAAAAAAACCGATATTAATAGGGTTCCGAACCGAGTACGGAACCCTAAAAATGTCACGATTAATTTTATACGTCCGAGAAGTTGGCAACGCCATTTCATTTTTTCAATAAATCAATTTTTGTGCTAAATTGTGCTAATTTTGTGCTAATTTGTGCTGCAAAAATTTTTTTGAAAAAATTAATAATAGGGGTCCAAAATTTAAAAAAACAGTTTTTGGCAAAAAATTTATGATTCACTTTTATTCCAAAAAAATCATTTGTCAAGTTATAATGTAACAACAATACAATCTACTAAAAAGATAAAAAATTTTTTTTTTTTTAAATACAAAAATTTAATATTCAAAATTAAAATTTTTAACCATAAAACGGAAAAAATATCAATATTTACGAAAATAAATTTTTGTGCTATATTCTGCAAGACAAGCACAAAAATAACCTCTAAAAACATTTTAGAAAAACTGTGATTAATTAAAAGAAATTGCAATTTTATTACTCAAAATTAACATTTTTAACCCTAAAATGGGCAAATATCCAAAATTTTTGAAAATCAATTTTGGTGTTATATTCTGCACCACTAGCACAAAAATAATCTATAATTATAAAAAATAATCTATGTCTATAAATATAATCTATAAAATTTTTAACTCTAAAGAGGGCAAATATCAAAACTTTTGAAAATCAATTTTTGTGAACAAAAATAACCTATAAAAATATTTTAGAAAAACTGTATAATTAAACGAAATTACAATTTTTTAAAAATATTGTTAGAGGTTATTTTTGTGCCAGTATTTTTGTGTTAGTATTGTAGAATATAGCAGGAAAATTTATTTTCGTAAATATTGATATTTTTTCCGTTTTATGGTTAAAAATTTTAATTTTGAATATTAAATTTTTGTATTTAAAAAAAATTTTTTTTTTATCTTTTTAGTAGATTGTATTGTTGTTACATTATAACTTGACAAATGATTTGTTTGGAATAAAAGTGAATCATAAATTTTTGTATTATGTATGTATTATTTAATACAAAATACAATTTTAATTAACTCAAATAATATAATTATTTGGTATGAATAATTATTTATTTGATGCAAATAATTATTTATTTGATAATAGTCTACGTAACCAATTACCTGAACCAAATAAATTTTTTTTTCAGCGTACAGTAAAAAAAAAATTCTAGATAAAATAACTAGAATTTTGGTTAATGTAACCAGAATAACCAACGATTATAAAAAAATTAATTCTTCTTGTCTGACTAAAACACTATTTTACTACTTATAAATAAAAATTTCTTCGATTATTTTTTTTTATTTAACAAATTGACGGGATTATTAAATTAATTTAATAGCAATTAAGTTATTACTTAATAAATGAAATAAATTTTTAAAAAATTGCTCTATAAAGAATTATAAAAATAAATGTAATAATTAAATTAAAAACAATTATTCCGAGTATAAAAAAAAATAAATAATTAAAAAAACATTTTTGTATAAAGTAACCTATCGATTAATCCATGAGTAATTTAATTAACTGAATATAATAATTTTTTCCCTCAGCTTTTTTAATATACAAATAGTATATATATATATAGCTATAAATCATTCTCTCTTTTTATTTAATTTCAAAAATGGAACATTTCAGAGCCAATATAGTGAAACAATTTTTACTGGGTTAGTAATACAAATATGACTGATTCTTGAAATTTTTACTCATATCGAATCACAAGGCCATCAGTTGCATCGTTGCCAATTTCTGAATAGGATTGTAATTTCATATTTTTTAACCAATATATATAAATAGAAAAAAAAGATGTGCGCCTCAATCCTTAATATATATAAACGTGAAATTCAAGTTCCAATACTTATAAAATCAATTTCTCTCTTATTCAATTTCTCTATAATATATATATATATATTCGCAATAAAGATTGCAAAAATATATTTTGCGGAAATAAAAAGAAAAAAATGCTAAAAATTCATCATTTACAAATAAAGTATGTAAATATTTAAAATTATTTACAATATATTTTTCAAAAATAATTTTCCAAAAATTTTTTTTTTAAATGTATAAATAAATAAATGACTATTTAAAAAATATTTATTTATAATACGCAAAAAAATATTTTACCTTTTTTATAAAATTATTTTTTTTTTTTGGTAAATATTTATCATTTACGGAAAAAAAAGATTTACCTGGAATAGCGAAACGTTTCACTACAGTATGCAAAAATTTTTACTTATTTCAGTTAAATATTTCGCTATTCTAGTGAAATCTTTCGCTGTTTCAGGTTAATTTTTTTTACATGTTATGATATATAGTAAAAGTTAGTTACTCCGAAAAAATAGGGAAAATTTTGCAAGTTTATAAAATGAGTTTCCAGTCAAACATAAAACAATTAAATAATTTTAATGTCAAAAAAATATTTTTTGCAGAAAATAATTTTTAATGATAAAAGTTTCATTTGGAAAAAAAATAAGATGCATTTTCAGGATAATATATAAGAAATTTATATATATGTAAAACACCCTCAGGCTGAATTGATTCTGTCAGAAATTTTAGTGGTGCTGCCACCTTGCATTGACCCTTTGAAACCTTGGTCACCCCCGTTCGCCATCAAGGGAGCAAAAACCACTTGGTAAAAATCACTCTGGCGCCCAGCTTTATCCCTATCGAGAATCTGATTAATAGCTGGATCCACGAGCATATAGGTGGATTTAAAGATTATATGGTACACTACCTAGGAACGATATATATGTCCGTTGGCGTGAAATCCATACAACGTATATATAATACTCATCCATCCAGTCTCTTTTTCTCTCTCTCTCTCTCTCTCTCTCTCTCTCTCTCTCTGTTTTTTTTAAAGGTTGATTAAACTCGAAATTTAATCACAGAGTTTGACGAATGGAATCCAGATTCTCAACCTGTCTACTCTCAAATCAAAACCAATCCATTTTCACATTTTATTCCTCTCTCATTCGCGGGACCCTTTCGTTGAAATGTCGATTATTATTTTTCCAAATATTCCACTATTTTTATTTTTTATTCCACTTTTCAGAAAATTCATTTTTTTTTTTTGCAAAAATCGTTTTCTTTTTGATTTATTTTTAATTTATTTTTATTTCTTTTTATTTGTTTTTATTTACTTTTATTTTTACTTTATTTGTTTTTAATTATTTTT